GAATATACATCTGCTTCATTAAATGTAAAACCTGACTTCTTTGCAGAGATGACTTTAAAATCTATTGAGTTTGTTTCAAAATTATATGCTATGGTAACTTCTGAAGGTAATGGATGCCCTTCCGCAGTAAGTTGTTCTCTCACTACCGTTTGAAGCTTTGTGTTAAAAACTTTCATGTCATCTCCTGTGTCTAGGTTCACATACACAGCAATGGGAAAACTATCTTGCTTCTTTGTTTCATCATTATACCTCAAAACATTAAAGTTCTTCAATAATATTGTTCTTCCTGCTGGAATACTTCGAACCTGTCTGATTTCAATAGCTTTCTCACCTCCTACATACTCTACCCAGTGTCTTGGATATTCATAAGTATACTGACTTTCTTGAATTTTGGTTGGTTTCATCATAACGTGTTCATAGTATATCTTTATACTCTTGTCAGTTAGACTCGGTGCTATGTTCTGAATATTTCTGACTTGCATTTTTAATGGAGATAAAATGAAGCATTTAATACATGACGTAGATGAAGACATGAATGAAACTACAGACAAACTTAACTCTTCTCTCATTCTTCCTTTCAGTAAGGACTATGAGTTCTGTTCAAATGGTGTGTATTTCTATTGTGGAAAGATGGGTTCAGGTAAGACATTTAATTTAATTCGTCATATACTCATAACAGAACGTTTAGGAAATGACTCATATTATGACCAAATCATTATATCAGCAACTTCAGACTCTATGGACTCAACAGCGAAAACATTTATGTCAAAAGTTCAAGCATCTGTCGTTAAAGTTCCAGATAGCGAACTCATTGAATTTCTTCAACGTTACGTTCGACGTAAGAGGAAATATTATGCCATCGTTGAATTTATACAGTCAGGAATGCAAAAGACTTCAGAAGAGATGGAAAGAATTATTGACAAACACCACTTACGTCAATACTCAGGAGTTTACGATATGAAACGACTTACAAACTACATTCTATCAAAACTTTCAAAATACCCCTTCAAAAAATATCCTTCAAACACTTTATTAGTTTGTGACGACTTCGCCGGAAAAGGTTTAGTTTCAAAGCCTGACTCACCATTAGCTAACATCATTACTAAAGTCAGACATTACCACTTAACTGTAGCAATACTTATGCAAACATGGAGGTTTTTAGCTTTAAACATAAAACGTCTCATAACTGACTTCGTTATCTTTCAAGGTTTCTCACGTATGATATTGAACTCATTTGGAAACAGTCAGGTATAACATTACCTTTTGAAGAAATTTGGGAAGCATATAAGTCTCTCATCTCTCCTCGTTCATACCTTGAGATTCATATCATGACTAATACCATTAAAGTCAAAAATATTCCATGGGAACGACCAACATTGTTTTAAAGTTTAACCTTCAACTGACTGATGGTAAACAAATTCCATGCATCTCTGTCGCCATTTCTGTTAATATTTTTGCTGTCATTCATATCATCCACTTCCCATCCGTTAGCTTTTGAGGATATGCGTTAGAATAGCTGTTCTTAAATGAAGGCTTCTCCCCTTGAGAGCATAAACTCTATAACTTTCTGCATACTTTATGTTTGAACCTCCTGAGCCATCATTGACATAAATTTTTATAGGCTTCCACCCTTTGTTCATGTTCCTGCTTCTTCCCTTAGCTCTTTTGTTCAGTAGTTCTACATCTTTATACACAGCTCCTGTCTCAGTGAATTCAACAATATTTTCATTCGTTAGCTTTACATTCAAACCCTTGTCGAGTATATTGTTCATTTCATACATATAAAAGGTTTTTATTCTATATGAAATGAGAAGCAAATCCATCTTAGCTGGTGCCGTTAATGTTCCAATTGAACCAACATCAAATGTTGACTCACGAACGACAAACAATATTGTCATAAAGAACTATAGTTCAGAGTGTTTGAAAGAAAAAGAACCAGAACTGAAATCCGTGAATTTAAACTCAGCTTCAAACGCTAACGCTACATCAGATGTTAAGTTAGAGTATCCACCACTGGACCAAATTCTTTCAAGAGAAGCCAACGACAACCCTTACACAAATGTTCAAACAAATCCTTCAGATAACGTAGACCATTACCTTCTTCAGTTATACCAAACAATTTTACTCAAAGACGATAAGAAGCTTTTGACAAATCTTATAAGCAAGAACCAAATAATTCTAACAAAGGAGGACCTTGAAAATGTTATATCACGAATAACAGGGAAACAATGTGTCATTGACTATCTCGACCCTGAAATCGAATGCTGTGGTCAAACGCCACCATTCATGAAAATAGGTAACATCCGCATCATTGAAACACCAGGAACTACAGGAGTTGAGTTTAAGTATAAATATTCGAACGAGTATACAAAACTTTCAACAGAATATAAGCTTTGTTTGAAATATGTTTTAGTAAATTAAAGCAATTTGTAATATCTATCCAAAACTTCTTCAACAGTATCGAACTCATCTTCATAATGCAAACCTAATCTTATTGACTTGGTGCAGTTTCACTAACACAATATAGCGCTTTGCGCTCGGCGCCTTTGACGCCTTTTTCTGTTCTCTTGACTGACATAACTAACTCATTTGTTTCATCAAACAGCAATAACCAAAGTTCATGACCTAATACATAACATTCATACTTTATATTTTTAGCTCTGAGTTCTCTTGTAAGCTGTTGCATTTAATATTTTCTAAAAAGTCAACTTCAACAGTCATTCGCACTGGTGCCTTCAGTTCTACAGGCTCTCCTTGAAAGTCAACAAGTCTGAATTGCATGTCTTTCAAATTATGAGGACTAATGCGAACCCATTTACCTAAATGAGTTACTATGACAGGAACGTTTGGAATGAACATTGAATTGACTGCATAACAGAAGATTATATTATCTACTGAACCTTTACTATTAACTCCTGAAATACCTGTGACATTAGCTATTTTTGACTCAACGTATAAACAATTACCATAACATACGTATGGAACAGATTTCATCTCAATCGTTTTGTCAACACTTTTCAAAGGACATGTCATATGGTATGCTCCCAGAAGCAATTGAACTCTATGACTCATTCGTGTTATCTTAAACTCCTTCGCATAACTGAACTTCAAAACTCCTGCAATAAGTTTAACATTCATTAAGTTTTCTTCGTTCTCCTTGTTTATTGTAGTATTTATGAGCGCATTTAACACTCCAGCTAATGTTTCCATCTTATATTCTACATTATTGTGAAATCTTATTTCGTGCTTCTTTCCATCTATTTCAAGCTCCATGAAATCTGTTTCATCTGTTATAACGAATGAAGCGATAGTATTGAAGTCAACAACTCTGAAAGCAAGCGCTTCATTCTGAAGACCTAAGTTTGTTTGTAGCTTTACTGTCCCGTATTCGTTTGGGTCTGTACTTTGCAAATAGAACAACATTTTATTCTCATTAAAATATGAGTATTGCTGCATATGCGTATGAAGCTGACAGAGCTAAACGTTTATATTTTGGTCAATACTCTCTCACACTTACTGACAAATATATTGTTATCAGTGATGGAAATACCGAGAAATACATAACATGGAAGGACTATGAAAAGTTTGACCCTATTTTAACTCCATGTACTATGCCATTCATTGTAAATGGTGAAGTTGTCATGAAGAACGACACAACTGTTTATAGGTCTGTATATGAAGCGTTAGAATATATGTTGAATTATAATCCCGAAAGATTTGACCCAAGCACTACGTCATGTACAATGCCTTTTATTAAGGATGGTGAAATCGTAAGAGTTCCGAATTCAACGGTTTACACAGCTGTTCAAAACAGTTTACAAAACATTTTAGCGAATATCTTTAATTCAGAAACTACAGAAATAAAATTACCATATATAACAGATGCTAAAGAAATTAAATCAAAAACGACAACATTATTTACGTCACTTAATGATTTAATGACTTATATCATTAATATTCCTGCACCAACTACAGCATTTGATCCAAACTCGACGGTTTGCAGTGTACCTTTCATAAAGTCGCAAACGGACTCTTTGAGTCCTGAAGGTCTTTCAGACCGAAGCGACCAGGGCGAAGCCCATGACAGTTCAGTAATTGTTTTAAGGGATTCAACAGTAAATGAATCATTAAAGGCGTCATTAATGAAAATCATTGATTTTAATTCATTCATGAATACATATAATTCATTCATTAATGTTTCATATGCTTCTAAAGAAGGTGAGCCAAAAACTATCGATAAAGCGGTGTATGAAATAAAAGCATCAACGACGAAATTGAATTCGTTAACTTTTGACGGTGATAGTTTCGTTAATGACATAACATCGGGGAAAACAATTTTAACGAAAGAATACTTAAAATCTCATGTTAGTGAGTTCGTTGAAATTGAAAAAGAAGGTGGAATTAAGTTCGATCCACTGAATTTCATTTTCAGCTTAGCGAATGCGGGTGTTAGTTTCGCTGAATGGACAACTATACAGAGTGAAATAAATGCAATATGGACGTTTTTGGGGTCAAAAGCGGGAATGGGTGAGCTTGTAAATGCTGCAAGAACATTAGGTGAAACAGGAAATTTTGTAGATGGTTTTAAAAGACTTGTTTCAAATGTTTTAACAAACACAAAGAAATTATTTAGATATACCATACATAACGGACGGATTTTCGAACAGGTAGCAACAAACCCTCCGGTTATGGCTGCGTTGATGATGGTTAGAGATATAAAACCACGTAACGACGGGAACGAAGAACATGAACAACAGAGCCCAACGGGCTCAGAGCCACATAGTGGCGAGGATACTGGTCGGGTTATTCAAGACATTAAAAACGTGTATCCTGAAGTTATTGATTTATTTAGAGGAGTTAATGATTCAATTTCAAAACATTCTATAACCCTCGATGAAGAGAATAAATTAACAGATTATATATTCGTCATTATTGCAGAATTAATGAAGAGAATAAATGAAAAAGGAATTGGTGATATCATTAATGTCAGCGATGTAATGATGAAAAGAAATTTTGACTCATTATTTACAAAACCGAAAACAGAATATAGTCTTTATGACGTAATTACCGAATTAATGAAAAAGATTAATGATAATAAGAGTTCTGGCGGAAGAGTTGAATTAGAAGTGAATGATGTTAATGAGAAATTAGCCGAAAAAGCAGATAAAAACCACGTTCATTATATAACTTCAGACGAACAGATTATAACGGACTACCATGGATATTTAACACGAAGTGATGAAGCGAAGACAAAAAATGTTAATGAAAGAAGATATAAATACATTCGTGCTAAAGGTTATGACATAAGCTGTACTGTACAGTATGATGTAGCTAAAGCACCAGAAGCATTTGGTTATACCGGTGAAATTTATGCCTCTACTTTCAATGTTAACGGTGTATTAGTTGAACCAAGATTTATGTTAAGAGTTAAGGCAAAAATAACGTTTGAAGATGCTATTAAAAGTAAAGCTGACAAAGTTGAACTTGACGCAACGAACAAAGTTTTGAAATCTCATAAACACAACATCTCCGATATAAATGAACTTCAAACTTCTTTAGACAGTAAAGCAGACAAGAACCATACACATAAATCCTTCTCAACTGTTAGAGCAGACGACATAATATTGAACTATACCCTTGGTTCAAGTGCACCTTTAGAGAATCCAAGTACAAGCGTAAAAGATACACTAAACTCCTTAAATAACAAATGTATGAATATCGAAGGTCGTGTCAGAAACTTTGAAGCACATGAACTACCAGCAATGTTAGATAAGAAAGCAGACAAGAACCATACACATAAATCCTTCACAACTGTTGCTATAGAAAGTATTGAAGGAACGGTTGAAGAAACTGGTGGGGATGCATTATATTGTAAACCTCCTAACTTTCCACAAGGTTTAACATCGGATGACGACATAACGACGATGAAAAACATTAGATGTAAAGATGTTTATGTCATGAAGGATGAACATAATATTAAATTCACTGCTCAAGATTTATATGACAAGAAAGCAGACAAAACAGAGCTTCAAACATTAAAGACAGAAATACTTCAAACATTATATCCTATAGGCTCTATTTATACGTCAATGAACTCAACAAATCCAGCAACAGTTTTAGGTTTTGGTACATGGCAGCAGATTGTAGACAAATTCTTATACTGTGCTAACTCTTCAAAGCAAACAGGAGGTTCGAAGAAAATTACTGAAGCAAACCTTCCACCGCACACTCATACAGGAACTACAAACACAACAGGTAGTCATTCACATTCAATAACAAAAAGAGGTTATACAAATCTTGCAGCAGGTTCGGATAGACAGGGAATGCATAGATATGATATTTCAAGTGACCCAGTAGATTCAAGCGCAGGTATTTTCTGTGGAACCGCAGGAAATCATGCCCATACTTTCACAACAAATCCAACAGGCTCGGGTGCAGATTACATGCCACCATTTGTGACTGTATTTGCATGGTACCGCGTTCAATGAACGCACTTGAGCCTAGAATAAAATCTTTATTTTTACATAAATGAGCTTGAAAGAAGTATTCGAACAACATCCATGGAGGTCATTTAAGAAATTCAATGAAGCTGCAAAGAGTTGGGGATTTACTAACAGAGCTGAAGTGAAAAGGTTCTTTGACAAAAATGTTGTACATCAAACAAAAATAAACCCTTACGACTACTTTTTACCAATTTACTCCAACACTCCTGACGCATACCAATTTGACACTCTCATTCAAAGCAGAAAAGGAGGACATAAACCATTCCTCATCTTCATAAATGTTAACACTCGTAAAGCATATGCATATCCAATGAAAAATAAAGGAACTCGTGAAGTGTTAAGAGTTTTACAAAAGTTTGTAGCAGAACATAACCCAAGTATTTTAACATCAGACCAAGACAGTGCATACCTCAGCAATGAAATCACAGAATTTCTCATTAAGCATAACATAACTCACTACACTACTGAAGACCATAACCATAACATACTCGGTATCATTAACCGCTTCATAAGAACGCTCAGAGATTTAAATCAAGAGCGAGACTTTACCGAAGAAACAATGAAACATTTTCTCGAAGTATATAATTCCTCAACACATTCTACAACAGGACATACACCAAATTCAATGACACAACAACAAGAAGAAAAGTATATACAAAAGAAACGAAGCCAAACACAAAATATCAGAAATTCAACACAATTTACTCTCATTCCTGGTACAAAAGTTCGTGTAGTTCTTGACGACAAACCATTGACAAAGAAACGTTTAAGGTTAAGTCGAAATTATTATATCGTAGACTCTACGCAAGGTAATGGATATCTTATAAAAGCTGCTGACGACTCCATAGCATTTTACCCTCGACATAAATTAGTCGAAAGTAGTAATGGCAAACTTGCTGAAACCATTGACGAAGCAAAGCGAGGAGTGGTTATTGAAATACTTGACTATAACACAAACGATGACACTTATAAAGTAAGATATGAAGGAGGCGTTGAAGATGTTATACCATCTAAGAACTTGAGAGAATCTAAACCAACTCATCTGGGACCATTAGAGCGGGAGTACTGGAAAGATAAAAACATGCCAGAAAGAATAAGAAAATTCTTCTAAACTTTTTCGTTGGATGTAAATCAGACATGAATGAGAACAGTCATGTATTATTAATGGTACCATTTATTTTTGTCATAAATTTACACCAAAAATAATGTTTAGGTGAAGAGGTGAAATCTCACCTGTTTTTTCACCTGTTTTCTCACCCTAGTTATTTTATAAACGTTTCACATGGTAAACGTTATTTTTTTAAATTTTGTGAAAACTCAACGGTTTGACACAAGCCCTAAAAATTATTTTACTCAGAATTTTGTTGCTAAATTCAGTAAAAATAATGTTTAGGTGAAGAGGTGAGATGTCACCCGTTTTCTCACCTGTTTTCTCACCCCAGTTTTTCACAAGCGTTTTACATGAATTGTACGATGTATATTTGAAATCCTAAACAATTTCGTAGCTTCTATTTCTTCTGTCAGTATGTCAAAAGTTTTAACAATGCCGAAAGTTTCTTTATATTTCTTCTTGACGTCAGATAGAAGGAAATCGTCAGCAGTTGGATAGTTTTTGTTCAGAAATGCTAACATGTCCATTTTATTTTCTGCTGGCTTTTCTGCTTCTTTCTTTAAGTCTGCATAGTCGTTTCTCATTCTTTCTATCTCTTTGACGGAGTAGTTATATTTCCTAATTGCTGCTTTACATTTAGAACATTGCGGATTCATTTTTGCGTTATATTCTGAAACCTTACCTGCTAAAACAACTAAGGCGTCAATGGTTTTCTTTAACTCAAAAGCAGTTGGTCTTATCTGTTCGTTCCCATATTTTACCTCTTCTATCTTTATCTCTTATCTGCCATACACATTCAGCAACTAACGAAACAAAGTTATCGTAGGTCTTAAACTCCCCGGATTTATATATGTCAGAAAATTCTTATATACCATGTCGCAATCTTTGTCCATAACCTTATGGTTGCAATGAAATCCTAGAAACTCATAGTTTACCTTTCGAATGAACTTCTTTATTTCTACTGAGTCAGTTGGTTTCACTTCTATTTCATCGAATTCAGGAATAGTTAGTTTTTGATGCTGAATTTCAGGTAGTTTAGGTAAATGGTCAATAATGTCCTGCATTTCATAAAGATACTGTTCATTTGTTTCATCTTTCGCACTACAGTCTAAATTACTTGTTAAAAGTTCTTGCTTTATCTTCTGGATTTTTGTTTCGAAAGTATATGAAGAAGGAATGAAGCTTTTCATCTCTACTAACATAGATGTTGGATTCATGACTAACGAGTTTGGTGAAGTTGTTGTGGACAGAGTCCCGCCGTTCGCGGCTTGAATTGTTGTTGTGCCGATTGTTGAAATCATATCTTTACATACAAAATAAAAAATAAATAAAAATAAAACTAACGTTATTTTTCTATCTTAAGGAAATTCATGAAAATTCATGAGGGTGAGAAATTAGGTGAAAAAAGAGGTGACATCTCACCTCTTCACCTATAATATATTTTTGGTCATTTACACTCATTTACGAAGAAGTTATGACAAAGCATTTACGAAGAAGTTATGACAAAGCATTTACGAAGAAGTTATGACAAAGTCACGAGGTGAAAAAGAGGTGAGAAAACAGGTGACATCTCACCTCTTCACCTAAATTATATTTTAGGTCAAAGCTTCCACGAGAGAAAAGATTCCTCATTCGCTAAGGATTCCAAAAATGAAAAAATCATTGATTTCGGCTGAGAAAAAGCAAAACCCTTCTTCCACGGGAACAAGAAATAAAGAAGAAATAAAGTAAATTTTTTATTTATTCCCGTGGAAGATAGAGCACTTTTATGACACTTTTTATTCACGACAAACAAGACAAATAAAGAAAATAAGAAAATACGGCGCTGTCGCGGTTCGAACCACAGACCTTGACCCCTCCATAACACCACCTTAGACCACTGTGCTACGTAGCCTGTCGACATAAGATTTTATAAATTGCATATTTGACGTAAATTTATTTCCATCTGGCTTCCCACTGCATAAGATATTCATACGTGTTTGTAAGACATTCATTAAACTTCTTTTCTATTGCATCTAATCTTGCGTTATTTTTTTTCAATAACTTGTCTGTATTCTTCATCATCTCCAGCAGTGTTTGGGTCTTCACGTTTAAAATTCATTGTTAACCAATTTTTTATCTACAAATTTTATTAGTGTTTGATTCACTTCGTTATGATAACGGTCATATTCTTTCAATACGTAAGTGAAGACAAAATGCGTCGTACCTTCAATCTTAAAGCTTAAAGAACTTTCAACACAGTTTTGAGGGTCTGTCAGTGCGTCAATGAGATAGTATTCGAAGTCAGTCAATAATCTTTTTAAAGTCATTTCATACAGGATAAAATTTAATGTTGTGAAGAAATAGTGTTTATCTCAAAAAAAATAAAGTTAGTTTTTATTTTATTTATTTTTTTATCCTGTATGTAAGAACAGTAATGTCAACATTAGAGAACACAACAACTGCTATCGTTCATGAAGCCATAAATGAAGAATACGAATACATACAATATAACAAACAATTGAGACTCATTCGTTCAGTCAAAGATGATATGTATCAAATGCAAAGTATTTTGACGGCTTGTTTTGCTCCAGATACTAAGCTTCCTAAAGACTGGTTTAGGAACCAAAGCACCATAGAACTATTAAGTGAAGCACAGCGAGACGTACTTTTTTCTGAAAACAGTGAAGAACAGCGAGTAGGTAAAAAATCCCAGTCGCCAAAACTCTATGAAAACCGTGAAAAATTGCCAAACGGTTTGAGAGGATATTATGTTCATAGACTTCTCGTAAATGTTGTAGCAATGTGGGCTTCACCTCGTTATGCTTGGTATGTTTGTAAACTTCTTGACGAAATTCACAGACAAGAACGCGAACAGATGGAAAAGAAACTTCAAGCAAAAGATGAAGTCATTGAATCCAAAGACAAAAGCATACAGAAAAGAATACCACGTTCAGTACCAAAAGGAAAGGAAAAGAACTATAAGTATATGATTTATACTGAAGAGTTGGAGAAAGAAGAAGACAGAGATATGGTTATGTTGCATTTAGTGAGAAGAAACAACAAGAGCTTTTATGACTTAGCTAAAATATATAAATCTGACAGAAACTGGTTCTATCGTGAAAACTTACCGATTTCAATGACACCTAATGAGCAAATAAAGGAAATTGTCAAAAATACTCTTCCTCAAACACACTATGACATCAAAGGTTGCACAATACTTACATTCAAAGAAGACTTAACATTGCTAAAGGAAAAAATAACAGAATATTTTGATAACTTCAAAGAGGAAGAATAAAAAAACTTTTTTTGTTCAATGCTTTGAAATTTTATACAAAAATATATTTTTGGTTAAATAGCTTCAGGGTCAATTTCTTCAACCATTTCACTTCCTTCGTCAATGTCAATAGAAGCTTCTTCAACCTTTGGTAAGAACTTTTGTATAACATCTTTGTTCGTTATTGTCTTCAGAGATGAAGGATAATATTTCACATTTATTTCACCCTTCTTATATTCTTTCTGTTCGGAAAGATTCATAGCAATACTGAAGAAGTCAATGTTGGAGTTCTTTATGACAGTATAGTGTGTATCTTTGACATTCACGAAGAAACTCTTTTGTTTCAAAACTACTGCTAACTCTTGTGAAGTATAACGTTTGCGGTCAATGACGATAGCTAATGGTCTGACATACTGACCAAACTTAGATTCTTTCACAAACTTCTTGTTAAAGATAACATTAACGTTTGAAGCATTATTGAACTCATTCTTGATGGCAGTAGCGAGAGCATTGTATGAAAAGAACTTGCAATCTTGCATGTGTTTCATTAAAATAAAAATATTAAATTATTTTGAAAAATAACTTAAAAAAAATCTAATCTAATTTTTTCAAAAAATATTTTTTTATTTCCTACTAAAGATGTATCGGAAGTTGTCTAAGTTAGAACACTCGGAAATAAAACAACTTCTTACAGAAGCTAATATAGATGTTGCAAAGCATTACGCAACAAACAAAAAAGCACTCGCTGACTTCATTAAAGACTATAATGGTGCAATAAGTTATGATAGAATTCATGAGTTCATAAAGCCGCAACGCGGCGAGGACGAAGTCCATGCAAGAGCATTTCCTTTAAATGACATTGCTATTGACTTATATCATAGACGTTCAGTACCTCATGAAGTAAGAAGAGAAATGTTTGACATAACAAATGCAAACGTTGGTCAAGAAGAGCTCTTTCCATGAAGTAAGAAGAGAAATGTTTGACATAACAAATGCAAACGTTGGTGAAACACAAGAAAGAGAGATGACACACTGAAACAACAGAGAAGAGAGATGTTTAAAAGTGCTATAGAACAAGTTCGCAAAGCTAACGATGTCATTCGTTCCATTGACGACAAACCAAAAGAAGGTGAGAGATGGTTAAAGAAAGATGAAGAGAATAGGAAGAGAAATGTGAAGTCAGGCAATAGACTCATTGACTTTAACATCGAAGCTTTAGATGAACCAAACAGAGACTACTTACACAAACATTTCGGTAAGGTTTTCATGAGACTCTTAGAGAAAATTAAAATAAACTCGCAACAGAGATGGATGGTATGTTATAAACTTGGTGGAAAGTATGAATGTTCTACGTTAAACCTCAATAATATTGGAACATTACTACATCAGCTCTTGAAGGAGAACTTTATATCAGAGATAGAAGCAAATGCTGCAGGTATTGTTGAAATGCACTATGACTTCTTCTTGACAAACATAAAGAATCTTACTGAAATAAAGATGTATGATTTAACAGAATATGAAGGCTTAACGATGTCAGATGTAAAGAAAGGCAAACCAAAAAAGAGACCATATAGAGATGAAAGCACACTGACAAATGACCAGAAAGCCATTTTGGAAGCTCTTAAGCAAACAGGAAACCCAGCACTTATAGAAAGCTTTTGGAAAGATAATGGTGAAAAGAAGTTTTATAAGAAGAGAAGCGGTCAGTTCTGGAAGTATCTTTGCACATTACCTATAAATCTTGAACGCTACCAAATCTTCAATGAACTGAACAAAAGAACTGCAACACTTATGACAGAGGACAATTGTTTCGTTTATGCTTGCATTCAGGCTGGAGTAAATGAAGAAACTATTGACCACATGAGAGAAGTCATTCGTGTTAGAGACTTTCCTCAAAGTAAAGTACAAGAAATTTCTGACGCAACAGGTATAGCATTTAATGTTACCATTGGTTATTTCAATGACTCAAGACATAATGAAATAAAGAGATATATACCAAAAGAATGCGAAACTGTTAGAACTATTGACTTACTTCTTGTTGAAGACCACTACATGCTAAATGAAAGATTACCAATGACAACATACTTCATTCGAAACTATATAGAAATCTTGAAGGAGTGTGGTGGAATGAACATTGAGAAACAGATGAAATTATACAAAGAGAGAAGATAAATATGTAGTTCTATGATAGAACAACACCGCTATGGGATGTTATGAAAACATTGTGGGAGTGCAAATATTTCGAACCTATTTCTTATGGAGAACTTTTCACATATACTACTGACTATATAAACAGAACCTTGCACCATTTAAAGATTTGACATATGCTCCAAAGTATTGTGTACAACTGAAGAAGAAAGCAGAGTCAAAAGAAGTAAATAAGCTAAATGTAAATTCATTCCTGAGCACGTTTTCTTTGCTGACTTTGAGTGTAGTAGACGGCTTTCATAAAGCTTTTAACATCTGTTATGACAGTGAAGATGGTTCAGTGAGTGAAAGCATTTGGGGTCAAAACTGTGCAACAGAATTTTTGGAAAGACTTCCTGACAAGAGTTTAATATATTTCCATAACCTCAGTTATGACATAAACTTCATCTTAAGACACATGACAGAAGTGAAAGGAACTCCCATCATTAAAGGTTCACGAACAATGCAATAACTGGTTTTATAAAGGACGGGCAATTATTATAAAAGACTCTTACAGTGTTATAAATAAGAAGCTTAAACTATTTCCTGCTATGTTTAACTTACAAACAGGACCGAAAGAAGTATTTCCATATAACTACTACAGCAGTGTTTTGTTAGCAAATGACAACAGAACTGGTGTCATTTCTGAAGCATGTAAGTTTATCCATGATGCAGATACATTTATGAAGAACATAGATTCCATCAAAGGTTGCAGAATAGATGAAAACCACTTCGACTTAGAAAAATATAGCACGTTTTACTGCAAACAAGATGTAAGAATTTTAAGAGAAGGTTTTGTAAAGTTCCGCAATGACTTATTGAAAGAGTTTGATTTAAACGTTTATGACTACGTTAGTATTTTTCTATTGCTAACAAATTGTTTGAGAACAGAGTATACTTCCCGAATGGAAATCTTTATGACCTCTCAAATAAACCAAGAGAATTTATTTCGAGATGCATTCAAGGTGGAAGATGTATGTTGTCAGATAACATGAAACAAAAGAGCAAAAAGAAACTCATTGCTGACTTCGACACTGTTTCATTATATCCTTCAGCTATAGCAAGACTTTATACTTTAGAAGGTATTCCAAAAGTATTGAAGGAAGAAATGTTAAGCACAGAGTATCTCATGAGACATTTATTCGATGATGACCAAAAGGAACCCATTGGTGAAAAGTTTATGTCTGGCTTCTTTGTTCTCATTAAGATAACAGAGATTGGTATACCCAGACACTTTCATTTAATAGTTTGCGACCCTGAACTAAATCCAGAACTTAACGTTCCAAGAAGTTCAAACACTTGCTGTCTCATGTATGTTGACCATATAACATTACAAGACCTCATAAAATATCAAGGTGTCAAATGTGAAGTGTTGCAAGGATACTATTACGATGGAAACAGAGATATGAGAATAAGAGATGAAGTAAAGAAGTTGTTTGAGTTAAGGTTAAAGTATAAGAAAGAAGGAAACCCCATTACAAGAAATTATAAAACTCATTCTGAACAGCATTTATGGCAAAACTATTCTATCTCCTATTGAGTCAAAAAATAACCATAGTAAATGACAAAGATGCTATAAGATATGCTATAAGAAATTACAACCATATAGTGAAGTTCGAAGGTTTGGATGGTTCAGATAAAACTATTTTCAAGCTAACGAAAAGCATTTGCAGACACTTTAACTTCTGTCCACTTGGTGTTAATATTCTGTCTATGTCAAAACGTATTATGAATGAAGTATTCTGTACTGCTGAAGATATGGGTCTTCAAATCTTTACCAGGATACCGACAGTATGCACTTATATAATGAAGACATACCAAAGCTTGCAGCAGAGTTTAAGAAGAGATATGGTCGCGAACTTATAGAAAGAACCTTGGTCAATTTCATAGCGACTTTGCAGAAATAACACCTGGAAAACAAAGTTTAGCTTATAAAAGTATTTTCTGTGGAAAGAGAGACCTACATAGACTTACTCACTAACGATTTAAATGAAGTTGCATTTCACTGCAGAATGAAAGGCGTGAAGCAAGATGTTATTGCTTTAACCGCTAATGAAATGTTTCCTGAAGCTATACAATGCTATTACAATGAAGATAAGAACATTCACATACCTGTTGGAACATATGACAAAGACTCTGAGTTCAGTTTAATGAAACTTTACAAAGCACTTTATGATGGTCAAGAGATTGCATTCGACTTATGTAAGTCATGTCAACCTTGCTTTGCTGAAAAGTTCAACTTTTCAATAACGACTAAAACAAGCTTTATTCGTAAGTTGAAGTTCTGAGGTCATGGGCTTCGCCCTTGCCGCTAGCGGCTTATTTTTGTCAGCAATGAGGTCATGAATGAGGTCATGGGCTTCGCCCTTCGCTAGCGGCTTATTTTTGTCAGCAATGAGGTCATTCGTGATAAAAATAAAGCTAGCGTAGATTTTACAATACTGCGATGGTAGAGTTTAAGAGTTGTGCTTCAATGTAGAGACAGTCCTTCCCATCTGGAGGCAAGAACACTGGACATTTATGGTCATGAGTGGAGAACATGTCTATCCAAAACTCACGATTGAAGCCAGTTAATTTATAGTATTTAGGGTTAGGAAGTGGTGAAGTTCTTGTATGACCAATGAACTCATTTTCAACGCCTTTGGCTATATTAGAGTAAAGTATTGCTTGCTTTCTATCCCAAATGCCAGGTGTTACAATCTTTGAAAATTCATTTTTCCTCGGAAGCATTGCATCATAATTGAAAACATTCTTAAAATCATCACTTGGTTCGGAGATTTGAAATCTATACGTAATGGATTTTCTTTCTTTTTAGCGACTTCATTGAATGGTGAGAATACAATGAATTGACAGTCATGTTTCCATCTTCATTTTCATTAAATTCATAATGAAAGTCTATAAGTTGTGGCTGACTACCTTCTTCTTCAGTTGTGCAAGAAACTCACGTAAAGGCTGTAAAGTTTGTACTTCAATGTTGAACTTTTTCTCGAACATCTCATTAAATGAAATCATACATTGCAACAATGTTGTATCGTCTTTAAAGTATTTGTATATGTGAATGTTTTGGGCGCTTAAAGACTGTTCGTCATTTTCTATCTCGACTTGAAGTATAAAGTCAACCTTTCTGAAAGCACGTGTTATATACATAGATGTTATGCCAATGTACTTCTCTTCATTTATGTTCACAATCCAGTCTGTTGGAAACTTAAACGTTACTCTGTTCCCCTTTATTTTGACGTCAGGGTTTTCACTACTGAACGCAACAGATAAAGGTATTTGTCTATACATTTAGTTTGGATAAAAATAAACCATTTACTCTTTCTTTGCTTCAGCTTCCTTTGCTTTTTGTTCTTCCTTTGCTTTTGCTTCTTCTCTAGCTTTTTTCGCCAGCAAACGTGGGTTCTTCTGTCTTCCAGCAGCTAATGCAGCTAGTTGTTTTTCACTAAGTTTTCTCTTTGGTCTCTCTGGCTTTTGTTCTTGTTTTTGTTCCTTCAGTTCGGATAAAATTTGCTCACGAATTTCTTTCTTCAATGCTTCAACATCTATGACCCCTTGGGTCTTGTCCGTAGGCTTGTCTGAGTCATTTGACTGTAGATAAAAAACTAAATTAAAACTTTAACCGATGTAAAATGAGCTTGTCAAAATCAGAACGAGAGTCTATTATATTAAATGACGCAAGAGGAATACAACATCCTTTCTATTACGTAAGTCAGAGTAAAGATGGTAAAATATACGTAAGAAAAAGAAAGGTTCCATTAGCGAATACAGAGAGCGACAACATTAAGGTGCATGCAAGGGTGAAGTCCACGAAGCCCATATAAAACCTTCTGTTCAAACTGAGCCACCAAAGAACAAGAAGAAAAGAAGCCAGATGTACTTTCAATAACGAACCAAGAGCTTATTGCAAAGTTCGTGAATTTCATTGAAAAACAAACCGAGTCAAAGAACCCTGACCCGCCAGTGAAAGAAGTTGAGACAAAAGAGAATGTACAGTTCATTGAAAATGTCAAGAAACAACTTCCACCACGAATACCAAGAAGAAGAGTGAGAATAATGAAGTAAATAGATATTTTTATCTGAAGTAAATACATGCAGAACGAACAGTTAAACGAATTTACTCCAGCAGAGCATATTCATCAGATTCGCTCATATTTCGATATCATAGACAATGCAGTTCAAATTGGTGACACTAATAGAAAATATTCTGACGCAAAGATTCCATCACAACCTGGAACTGCTAAAGATAACACATGGGTAACATTCAATCTCTCACCTCTGGTGAAAATATGTTGGACCTTTACAATACATTCATTACGTATAAAATGGAAGGTCAATTTATTGTAGATAAAGAAATTGGTTCAGGTTCCAATAAAACAAACCCACCAGGATTTTGGATTGGTTTCGATGACGCTTTCTATGCAGTTGCTGGATATCAAATCCTTGCAAATGGTCGTATCGTATATTCTCAAGACAACGCAAGAGAAGAAGCATATATAACTTCAAACTCACAAACTACCGAACAAATAAAGAAAGTAGATGTTTTCTCAAAGACTCGACATGAAGATGTATGGAGTCATTCGGGAACATGCAGAACAGGACAAATTGTTAGTGGTCCAATTACAGCAGGAAAATCATTTGATTTTAAGCTTCGTTTAAGAATTCCTGTTAGAAGATTCCTTCCATTAGAAGCTATTCGATTTATTCCAGCTTTTGCAGGAAACATTCAGCTTAAAGTAAAGTTCAGTAGCGACGCCTTACAATGCACATCTATATCTGTAAATGATATCATTGCTTTCAATCCAACTCTTAAAGTTGCATTTGCTTCAGATTCAAATCCACCGACAAATAAATTTGTTCCATGGAATGAACCATTCACTATGATAACGAAGGCAGTAGAAGCTAGTGGAACAGTTACTATTACAACTGTAAACCAGCAACTATTTCGAACAAAGATGGATTTTAATGAATGTTTCATTCATCCAAAGTCATTCTCTTTAGACCCTAACATTTATACAGAACTTGTAGAACATTATACAAACGAGGCTTTATGTTTTCCTGTTAAAGTTATGGATTGGATTCCTATGGACGGTTCATTCTCAAAGAATACAGATAGTTCAAGTGCAACATTTACAGCAGCTTATACGCCTATTAATGTTAAAAGTATTTGGGCACTATTTAGAAAGAAAGACAACTATTATGTTAATTTTGAGAACCCTAAGTTTAAATATCTTCAGCTTTCCATGGGAGCTTATGGAAATATGCCTGCAGAACCTGAAAAATCATATGGACCTGTATTTTATGAAATGGTTGCGAACGCCTGCAATACAAACAATGATATGATAGGATTTAATGAAGATGTTATGAGGTCATTGGTGGATGATGGTAGTGTGGAACATAAATGGGATAGCTATGACAACACACATTTCTTATGTGGTTTTCCAACAGAAGTGGACTTTTGCTTCCAGCAAGGTCAAACATCTACTGCTCCAATAACATACAAATTGTCTGTTAAAGGACCTATTGAACTAGCAACTGAAAACGTACCAAAGCCACTTATTGGATTTATGAGGGATTGTTGCTTTGCCATTCAGGTGCGTGCTAATGGAATCCCAATAATAAGATTAGATGACTATAACTTAGCTACGGACGACAGTGAGGAATAAAGGATGAACGTTTATTTTTAAAGCTTATAAATGAGTTCTTCATCAAGCTCTCGTGAACCTTCACCATCTATGAAACAAACTTTACCAAACGATTATGGAGCACCTATTGAATATTTCTTACGAGCTGCACAATGGCAAAGAGCAGTCTCACCAAGGTTAGGTGTTCCACCAGCTCCTGTCAAAAATAGCATTTGGTCAAGTCCTTATATAAAATATGGTCTCCCACTAGGTTTGCTAGCTACAGCAGGAGCAGTTATGATGTTGAAAAGAAATAAAGCAAATGTTATAAATAATACTGAAGTAGCTGAATTTGAACAAACTCCGACACCATCGCCAAAACCAACGTCAAAACCAACGCCTTCACAAACAACACCTTCAATGACTCCTGAACCTATGAAAGTACAAACTCCTGTTCAAAAGTCAACTCCAAAACCGACTCCAACATTTAAACCAGAACCTACTCCTCAAATAAATCGTAAAACTCCTGCGTTTCCTTACTGAAAAAATAATGTTAGTTTTATTTTATTTGAACATTTTATTTAGAGTAAAATGACGACTAAAGTCACTGAAGCAATGAAACAAAAATTTTTGGTAGAATACATTAAATCAGGAGCGGTTCCAGAAGGTTTTTACGTTCATACTATGAAGGATGGTAGAGTTCAGTTTAGAAAGATAAAGCAACCATTAGATAAAGAAGGAATTTTGAGAAAGATTAAACTTCATGAGGACAACATTGCTGAACTTAAGAAGAAGTTAGAAGAGTTGGAGAAAGGAAGAGAGTTATAAAGCAATGAATTCAAGTGGGTGAAAAAAGAGGTGAGATTTCACCACTTCACCTAAATTTATTTTTGTGCTATGTTTTCATACGTGTGAGGGTGGTGATATCATTAATTTTTAAGTTTATTTTTAAGTTTATTTTTTATTTTATTTTTATATAAATGACGAAAACTATTGAGATAACAAACTACAACGGTCATGAGTTCAAGAATTTGTTCTTCGTTCCTCGTGAAAATACATTCTATCAGATACGAGGGAGAAAGGGTAAAGTTAGTTTGAGCGTTTACGACAACAAACATAATGGGAGAATATAAAGCAATAGATACAAATGGTAAACGTGTTTCATTAGCTTTGTCAAAACTTACAGTATAACTATGACAGTGATTTTGACCTATATGAAGAAGAAAGTGAGTCAGAAGATTATGAGCTGTTATGTGAAGCACAGCAATGGGAAGCGCTGCAATACTTTTGTAAATGAGAACATTAGTGGGAACGTTAGTGAGAACGTTTATTTTTTCATTAGTGAAGTCGTTAGCGAAAATGTTGGTGAGCTCGTTAGTGAAGTGGTTGGCGGCTTTGTAAATATTTAAGGTTAAGTGAGTGTTGTCGTTTTGTGTTGTAAAATATACGTTACTGGTTTTGTAAATATTTAAGGTTATATTGGGTAAGGTGGAACGCAGTGCCGCCGTACCCAAGATAACCATACTAACTGAAGTCAAAGCAACTGACTCAGTAGAAACCAAGAAGTTCATACGAAAGGTAAACTATGAGTTTCTTGGATTTCATTGCAACCACAAAGTCATGGACAAAGACTGCGATATGGTATATAAAAATGTTTCTGACATATACAAATCTGAAGAATTTAAGACCTACGACAACTTTGTTTCGTTAGTTGCAAAATGTGTATGGCAGATAAGAGATAAAGATAAAAGAGGTAAAGTATGGAACGAACAGATAAAACCAGCAACTTTTGAGTTAAAGAAAACCATTGACGCCTTAGTCATACTTGCAGGTTTTATTTCAATGTACAATGCTAAAATGAACCCACAATGTTCAAAATGTAAAGCAGCAATGAGGAAATATAACTACTCCGTCAAAGAGATAGAAAGAATGCGAAACGACTATGCTGATTTAAAGGAAGAAGCAGAGAAACCAGCAGAAGATAAAATGGACATGTTGACATTTCTGAACAAAAACTATCCAACTGCTGACGATTTCCTTCTTTCAGATGTCAAGAAGAAATATAAAGAAACCTTCGGCATTGTTAAAACATTCGATATCCTCAGCGAAGAAATCGAAGCTACAAAACTGTTTAGGATTTCAAATATACATCGTACAATTCATGTAAAACGCTTGTGAAAAAGAGGTGAGATCTAAACACTCAAAGTTAGTCTCATCTATAAACAGCTTCATATTACACTCTTGTTTGCTTCTAACAATGTTGCTTCTCTTCGGTATGTGGAATTTGTCTTGGATTGAACTTTGAAATATCTAATGTCATGAAATATGAGAACAAGTGGTTGTAAAAGTCAGATGTCAAAGTTTCTGCTAAGTCGTCAAAATATTCTGTATCTTGCATATGAGTCTGAGTTCTGACAACTACATATTCTTCTGTCAGAACTTTCTAACTTCATCGGAACAGCATGTTTGAACCATAATGAAGTTTGCAACATTTTCAAACCTTTGGTCTTTATTATTTTCTTTCAACAACTCCAACTTTGTCTGTTATAAGACTCTTCAAAGCATCTGAGTTCAAAAACTTTGTTGTATCTATACTTTGAAGTTCATTCAAACTATAAGTTTCATTCTCTATGAGGAGTTTAATATTCCACAGATGTTTTCTATGTTTGTCATATTCGGGTTCGAATAGCCTCTAATAGTTTGCATAAATATCTGTAAAGAATGTGTTCTTACCTGTTCCTTGTTTTCCAATTATAATGAGAGCAGTTTCATTTTTAAGCACTTGGAGTTGTAAGATTTTTGCAAACCAACATAAGATATACTCATAGACTCTTTCGTTTCATTGCATATAATTTCTTTGACATGGTCTAACCAAGCTTCTATAACATTTTCTTTCCATTCTACTTGTTCGTATTTTATCCAGTGAAGATAGAATAGAAGTTTGGAGAAGGTGTATAGAACTTTATACCTCGAACTGAAAATCTTCAATTTTGACAATAAGATATCCCAAGCATCTAACATCTTCATGCCAACTTTGTAGACTTATTTTCTTAAGTTTCTGTCTACATTCTTGTTCTGAAACTATTGTCGCTTTGGTTTGTTAAAGACAACATCCCATTTTCATAACATAACATTCTGGGGCAGAGTCAACATAAATGACTAAACGTTTTCAATTCTCGACTGCTTTGTTATAGTCTCTAAATGGACACATATTTCTGAAGGCTTGGAAGTCATAAAAATCTGAACATCTATTCTGTACATTTTTATAAAAATAAAAAAAAATATTTTTTTATTCTTGACTTTGTTGTTGAGCTATTTGTTGTTCTTGAGCTATTTGTTGTTGAGTTGTTCTTTGTAATACAATACTTTCACCAGTTGCATCTTCCAATTCGAAACTTTCTGCCGCATAAAGATTTCAAAACATTATTACTCCTATAGGGCTCTATTATACGTCAATGACCCAAACAAATTCAGTTTTAGGTTTGGTACAATGAGATTGTGAAATTCTTATACTGTGCTAACTCTTCTATTACTGAAGCAAACCTTCCACCGGAGCACACATCATACAAGGAACTACAAACACAACAGGTAGTCATTCACATTCAATAACAAAAGAGGTTATACAAATCTTGCAGCAGGTTCGAATAGACAGGATGCATAATATGATATTTAAGTGACCCAGTAGATTCAAGCGCAGGTATTTTCTGTGGAACCGCAGAAATCATGCCCATACTTTCACAACAAATTCAACAGCTCGGTGGCAGATTAATGCAATTTGTGACTGTATTTGCATGGTACCAGCGCGTTCATGAACGCACTTGAGCCTAGAATAAATCTTTATTTTAACATAAATGAGCTTGAAGAAAGTATTCGAACAACATCCATGGAGGTCATTTAAGAAATTCAATGAAGCTGCAAAGGTGGGGAATTAACTAACAGAGCTTAAGTGAAAAGTTCTTTGACAAAAATGTTGTACATCAAACAAAAATAACCCTTACGACTACTTTTTCCAATTTACTCCCAACACTCCTGACGCATACCAATTTGACACTCTCATTCAAAGCAAAAAGGAGACATAAACCATTCTCATCTTCATAAAGTTAACACTCGTAAAGCATATGCATATCCAATTGAAAATAAAGGAACCGTGAAGTGTTAAAGTTTACAAAAGTTGTAAGCAGAAACATAACCAAGTATTTTACAATCAGACCAAGAAGTGATACTCAGCAATGAAATCACAGAATTTCTCATAAGCATAACATAACTCAACTATACACTGAAGACCATAACCATAAACATACTCGGTATCATTAACCGCTTCATAAGAACCTCAAGATTTAAATCAAGAGCGAGACTTAACCGAAGAAACAATGAAACATTTTCTCGAAGTATATAATCCTCACACATTCTACAACAGACATACACCAAATTCAATGAACAACAACGAAGAAGAAAAGTATATACAAAAGAAACGAAGCAAAACACAAAATATCAGAAATTCCAACAATTTACTCTCATTCCTGGTAGCAAAATCGTGTAGTTTCTGACGACAAACCATTGACAAAGAAACGTTAAGGTTAAGGTCGAAATTATTATATCGTAGACTCTACGCAAGGTAATGGATATCTTTAAAGCTGCTGACGACTCCATAGCATTTACCCCGACATAAATTAGTCGAAAGTAGTAATGGCAAACTTGCTGAAACATTGACGAAGCAAAAGCCGAGGAGTGGTTATTGAAAATACTTGACTTATAACACAAACGATGACACTTATAAAGTAAGATATGAAGGAGGCGTTGGAAGTGTTATACCATCTAAGAACTTGAGAGAATCTAAACCAAACTCTCTGGGACCATTAGAGCGGGAGTACTGGAAAGATAAAACATATGCAGAAAGAATAAAGAAATTCTTCTAAACTTTTTTTTCGTTGGACTGTAAATCAACATAATGAGAACAGTCATGTATTATTAAATGTACCATTTATTTTTGTCATAAATTTACACAGAAAAAATGTTTAGGTGAAGAGTGAAATTCATCCTGTTTTTTCACCTGTTTTCTCACCCTAGTTATTTTATAACGTTCACATGTAAACGTTATTTTTTTAAATTTTGTGATAAACTAACGGTTTGACACAAACCCTAAAAATTATTTTACTCAGAATTTTGTGCTAAATTCAGTAAAAAATAATGTTTAGGTGAAAGGTGAAGATGTCACCCGTTTTCTTCACACTGTTTTCTCACCCAGTTTTCACAAAGCGTTTTACGCATGAATTGTACATGTATATTGGAAATCCTAAACAATTTCGTAAGCTTCTATTTCTCTGTCAGTATGTCAAAAGTTTTTAACAATGCCGAAAGTTTCTTTTTATATTTCTTCTTGACGTCAGATAGAAGGAATCGTCAGCCAGTTGGATAGTTTTTTGTTCAGAAAATGCTAACATGTCCATTTTATTTTCTGCTGGCTTTTCTGCTTCTTTCTTTTAAGTCTGCATAGTCGTTTTCTCTATTCTTTTATCTCTTTGACGGAGTAGTTATATTCCTAATTGCTGCTTTACATTTAGAACATTGCGGATTCATTTTTGCGTTATATTCTGAACCTTACCTGCTAAAACAACTAAGGCGTCAATGGTTTTCTTAACTCAAAAGCAGTTGTCTTATCTGTTCGTTCCATTCCATATTTTACCTCTTCTATCTTTATCTCTTATCTGCCATCACATTCAGCAACTAACGAAACAAAGTTATCGATAGGTCTTAAACTCCCCGATTTATATATGTCAAGAACATTCTTATATACATGTCGCAATCTTGGTCATAACCTTATGGTTGCAATGAAATCGCTAGAAACTCAAGTTTACCTTCGAATGAAACTTCTTTATTTCTACTGAGTCAGTTGGTTTCACTTCTATTTCATCGAATTCAGGAATAGTTAGTTTTTGATGCTGAATTTCAGGTAGTTTAGGTAAATGGTCAATAATGTCCTGCATTCATAAAGATACTGTTCATTTGTTTCATCTTTCGCACTACAGTCTAAATTACTTTGTAAAAGTTCTTGCTTTATGCTTCTGGATTTTTGTTTTCGAAAGTATATGAAGAAGGAATGAAGCTTTTCATTCTCTTAACATAGATGTTGGATTCATGACTAACGAGTTTGGTGAAGTTGTTGTGGACAGAGTCCGCGTTCGCGCTTGAATTGTTGTTGTGCCGATTGTTGAAACATATCTTTACATACAAAATAAAAAAATAAATAAAAAATAAAACTAAAGTTATTTTTTCTATCTTAGGAAATTCATGAAAATTCATGAAGGGTGAGAATTAGGTGAAAAAGAGGTGACATCTCACCTCTTACCTATAATATATTTTTGGTCATTTACACTCATTACGAAGAAGTTATGACAAAGCATTTACGAAAAGTTATGACAAAGCATTTCGAGAAGTTATGGAACAAGTCACGAGGTGAAAAAGAGGTGAGAAAACAGGTGACATCTCACCTCTTCACCTAAATTATATTTAAGGTCAAAGCTTCCAGAGAGAAAAGATTCCTCATTCGCTAAAGGATTCCAAAAATGAAAAATCATTGATTTCGGCTGAGAAAACAGCAAAACCCTTCTTCACGGGAACAAGAAATAAAAGAAGAAATAAAGTAAATTTTTTTTATTCCGTGGACGAATAGAGCACTTTTATGACACTTTTTATTCACGAACAAACAAGACAAATAAGAAAATAAGAAAATACGGCGCTGTCGCGTTCGAACCACAGACCTTGACCCCTCCATAACACCACCTTAGACCACTGTGCTACGTAGCCTGTCGACATAAGATTTATATAATTGCATATTTGACGTAAATTTATTTCCATCTGCTTCCACTGCATAGATATTCATACGTGTTTAAAGACATTCATTAAACTTCTTTTCTATTGCATCTAATCTTGCGTTATTTTTTTTCAAATAACCTTGTCTGTATTCTTCATCATCTCCAGCAGTGTTTGGGTCTTCACCGTTTAAAATATTCATTGTTAACCAATTTTTTATCTACAAATTTATTAGTGTTTTGATTCACTTCGTTATGATAACGGTCATATTCTTTCAATACGTAAGTGAAGACAAAATGCGTCGTACTTCATTCTAAAAGCTTAAAGAACTTTCAACACAGTTTTGAGGTCTGTCAGTGCGTCAATGA